CATACAAATTCGACTTAAGGACAGACCTTGGGAATGGAATTTGTTCTTAAACTGGGGACTATCTGTATATAGGCAATTGCATATTAAGAGTAGCCAGTCAGAAACAGTTCTGTTTGATAAATGAGATGTCATGTCCTTCAAAAGCTATTGTAGTCTTTTGCAAGAGGATACAGTTCTTTGCAGAGTGCAAAAGAGTACTCCCAAAAGATATTAGCAATTATATGTGGGGCAAGCCATTCCAGGGAAAGAGAGATTGGAGACCTTTTGCCTTCTGATCTCCTAATCTCAACTCTTGTGCCAGTTATCTAGATCACTGGATGCTTCAGCTTCAGGCTAATGCTGTTGAATGCCATATAAGTCTCTAATAAATCAAGCCACATCTGTGACAAAATTATGGACAAGAGGGCCAACTGGCATGCATTACCAAGTCCTGGACAAGGGTGGAAGAGTATCCCTCATTGAGATCTGTCCAAATGCATTGGGGTAATTGACCTCAGAATAAGGTAGATAGAGTGCTTATTATAACCTGGGAAACCCTGGCAAGGATGATTATACTGTAGACGGTTGGAGGTGAGACTGGACTAGAGGCATAAACTGGGGATGAAATGATTGCATGTATTTCCAGCTGCTTAGTGACATCCCTTCCCAAGCTGTTTGATTTCATTGTGGGGGTGGTTATGGATTTCCCCTGCCAGTTGGCATTGTGGTCAGAAGAGACTTCAGAGTTCATGGCCACAGTAACAACTATGGGCTTTGTTGGTCTGCCCTCTCAGCTAGTTAAAGGGAAGGAGCAGTGTCCTGGATTCCGGTTACAGCCAACGTCTCCTTGTGAGAAAAATTGCAATGGGGGAGAGTTCAGATCCTCAGGTGGTCTATTATGGGTGCTTCTGGGCTCAGTTGTTTCCCCTAACCAATATAACATCTATATGAAGGTCCTGGGGGCAGTCATCTATCCATTTGGGATGAGATATCATCATATGCTGATGATATGCAGTGATACATCTCCGCCCTGGGCCAAATGATGAGTGGTGGAAGTTCTGAACTGGAGTCCAAAGGTTGTCAGGGTCTGAACAGGAAAAACAGACTCAGCCTAAAGTAGTAATTCAGAAGCCTGCTGATTCTGTGATTATACCAACTTTGACTCTGAGAGCAGGCTCAGAATTCCTGGGCTCATGGCTCCTGCTAGAAGAGCAGATAGAAGTTGGGGCCAGGAGGGGCTTTGTCCAGCTTTGACTAGTGCCTCAGCTGTGGCTTTTTCTAGAACAGGAGGCACTAAAAGTTACTTGTACCCTACCCTTGTCATCTCTCATTTGAATTAATGTAATTTGTTTTACATGAGGTGCTCCTTTGAAAACCCACTGGAAACTTCAACTGGTGCAAAATGCAGCTATCCAAACGTTTATGGAACAGGCTCAATCCTAGACAGAATCTCTCTACCTTGTCTGAGGTAAAAGAATGCCTGCTGAGGATTCCCACCTACTGTGAGGTCCAGCAGGAGCAGGCACAAAAATGGGTATTCTCTGCGGGGCTCCATTCCTTTGGAACAGCCTGCCCTCCCAAGTCAAGTGGGGCTCTCATGGCCTTCTGAAAGCTTGTTAAAACTTAGTTCTGAAAGTCCTTTAGAGACTTGATTAATTATTATTTTTTGACACAGATAGATGGATGATTAAGGATTTGACAACTTGTAATCTTATGTATACCTTTTAGTCTTTTAAGACCAAAACCATCTGTAAATCTTATAAATAAATAAACATTCTCAAAATAGGCATGGGGATATATTCTGATGGTTTCCTTTAATCAACCTCTGTAATATGCAGGTATCATAGTCATGTGTGATTCAAGGCTGTATCATCAAGATGATTTTTTTTTATTCTATAATGTCTTGCTGGAAGCTTTAACACCTGAGGTGTGACAAAATTTGTGTAGTCAGCACTTCGTATTGTATTTTGGTGTATAATCATTTGTGGCACAAGCTTATATTTGTGTACTTATTGCACAGATATGTAGAAATCTAAGATGTGCAAGTTTCCATTGCATATGTGATAGTATGACAGAATTTCTGTCCTTCAAAAGAAATTGCACTCCCTCTTAACTAGTGAACTTTTTCGTTTCTTCCCTTAGCAAACTTTCACCTGCAAAAAAAAAAAAACCTTTCTGAAATTATTTGTCCCTACAATATGTGAGAAGTTTGCCAAAGAGTGATTAGTAGATAGAACTTTCCCATTCTTTTAGAGCACTTAAATAGAATAATTAGGTTTGTCAGAGCATAGTAAACATTACTCACCCTCTTAACATTTTTTCTTAAAGTTTTTCAACTGTCTCAACACAATGGTTATCAGCAGAAACATGAAGTGATGTAAAAAAGACCAGTAAAATATGGGATATTAACTTAGCCCCCAAGCCCCAAAGCAAACTTAACTTCTAAAGCAAACAGCAAAAACACAACCAGTAAACAAATTACTTCCTATTTAACTATAGTAAATGGCATAGTGAATTTTAAAGCTATTGGAAAACCAAAGCCCATAAAAACTTATCGGGATCCAGTTGAGGTTTGCACTGCAGTGCTACAGCTTGGAAATATTATGAAGTTTGTGCTGGTAACTTGCCATCTGTTTACTGCATCCAGGTCCCTCCTGGATGTGAAAGCAGCCAGGCAGGTGATGCACAGTTGGATCCACACTTCATCTTTGATGGAGGAGTTGGTGCATCCAGCCTTGAAAGAGGTGGTGGTGCGCCTCATCCTCAAGAGGTCATCATTGAACCCAACGGTCTTCAATAACTATTGACCAATCTCCAACCTTCCCTTTTGGGGGAAGGTTGTTGAGAAGGTGGTCGGTCTACAGCTGATGAGAATGCTGGAGGAAATGGATTATCTATACCCATTTCAGTCAGGTTTCAGGCCAGGATTTAGTACTGAGACAGCTTTGGTCGCTATTGTTGATGACCTGTGGCGGAGCTGGGATGGCGGTGATGCATCTATCCTTGTGTTCCTTGATCTCTTGGTGGCTTTTGATACCGTCAACCATGATATCCTTCTGAACTGGCTCTGTGGGTTGGGGGGCACCGTTTTATGGTGGTTCTCTTCCTTTCTCTGGGGGTGGTTCCAGTTGTTGGTTGGTGAGGAGGGATGTCCTCTGGGCCCCTCATTTGTGGGGTGCTGCAGGGTTCTGTTTTCTCTCTCCTCTCCTTCCCTTTTCAACATCTGCATGAAACCTATACAGGTATCCTTGCTTAGCGACCATTCATTCAGTGACCATTGGAAGTTACAACGGTGATGCATGAATAGTACTTATACCTGGTCCCTGAAGTTATAACTGTTGCAGCACCCCCACGGTCACATGATCGAAATTCAGGCACTTGGTAGCCTACCCACATTTATGATTGCAGGGGTGCTTCAGCTCCCCCCACCCACCTTTTTCTTCCCATTTCTGCCCTTTGGGCCACCCTGGACTCCACTACCCCTGCTGCCCTGTGCTCTGCCGCCCCCACTGCCCCACACTACACCACCCCTGCTGCCCTGTTCTCCACCACTCCTGGTGCCTCCAGCTGACCTTTGCTGTCTTCCCCCCATTGCCGATGAGGTACCTCCAGCCTGGGCCCTTGTGAGGCAGCTTCTGGTCGCGTATAGTCTTCTCGTAGCAAGAAGGCTGTGCATGGCCTCGAGAAGAGGGCCTCATGCAGCCAGCAGCTGCCACATGAAAGACCAGGCCAGGTGCACCTCATCAATGGGAGGAAGAAGACCGCAAAGGTCAGCTGGTAGCTGCAGGGGTGGTGGGGTGTAGGATGGTAGGGGTGCAGGAGGCAGCTGCGGCTGGGCAACAGGGACTTGGCGCTGGGGCAGCTGGGACTTCATGCCATGGGGCTGGGGCAGTTAGGGCTCTGTGCTGCAGGGCTAGGTCTTGGAGCTGGGGCAGCTGGGGCTTCGTTCTGCAGGGCTGGGGCAGCAGTGGCTGGGCCTTTGCACCATGGCACTGGGCTGGCTGGCCATAGCATGGAGCTTGAGGCAGCACTCCTTGGCAGCAGTGGCAGTGCCAGCAGCACTGGGGCTGATGTGGAGGCCTAGGGGCAGTGACGACAAGCTGAGACCGCTGAAGGCCCTGGGCTACTGTTTCAGCCCCAGTGCTGCTGGTGCCACCGCCAAGGAGTGCCACTGTGTAGGGTGGCCAAAAGGGCAGAGATGGGGGGGGAGATAGGCAGTAGGGGAACTTGAAGAGGAGGCAGTCCCTTACCTTACCAAGGCTCAGGGCTGGGAGGGACCAAGCCAGGAATGGCTTGGATTGGGGTGGGTCCTTGCCTAATGATCAGGTGGGATTCGCTTCATGATGGCAAGAGAGACTGTCAGGATTGCTGTTGCTAAATGATGCAGTCATGGGATGTCGTACTTTATGACTGCGTTGCTTAGCAGTGGAAATTCCAGTCCCAATTACCATCATTAAGTGAAGACTACCTGTACATAGGCTAGGGCCTGGTTACTTGAGGGACCGCCTGTCTCCCATAGTATCTGCCTGGCTGGTTCGTTCTGGCAGGGTTGGCGTGCTCCAGGTTCGATTGATTAAACAATGCCACCTATTGGGACCCCCAATACAGAGTGTGCCTTCTCTGTAGCAGCGCCTGCCCTCTGGAATGAGGCTCCTCCTGAGATTCAAATGGCTCCCACCCTACTGATATCGAAGGGCCCTAAAGAACTGGCTTTTTGCACAGGCCTTTGGCAAGGATGCCTTGATGCCCCTTTCTTCCTTTTCCTTGTTCTCCTCTGAGTCTGTTTTCTCCCCAATCTTTGTTCTTTTGTCTTATGCTGTTTTTGTGTTGTTTTTGTTTTTTTAATATAATTTTATTGAAAGTTTTAAAAATAAGAGGAAAAATTAATAAAGTTTTTATTATAAAAACTATAGTATAGTAAGAAGGAAAAAAAGAAAAATGAAGAAATGAAAGAGAAAGCTAAGGTGCAAAAAGAAAAAGAAGAAAAGAAAAAAGGTAGAAGAAAAATAGAAAAGAAATATAAAGAAGTGGCTTCCGATCTTCTTTACAGCAGTTATAAGTACAATTGTAGATTTACTTTTCTCTAAAGTTACATTGTGACTCCCTTCTTTCTTTTTTTCATAAGACCTTTATTAAATTTCAGCAAAAGATAAAATATAAGGAAACAGAAAAAAAGGATCGAAAAAAGGAAAGATCAGAAAAAGAAAGAAATTTAAGATGCAGGTACAAATATATAATACATTCACCTCTTACTCTAAAGTTTAAACTAATACACAGTATTTCTATAATCATAAATTGCATTAATCATCAAATCCCAAAATTAAAGTTTCATTTCTTTCCGTTTCAAGCAAAAAGTCCAAAAGTGGTTTCCAAGTAGAAACAAAGCTAGACAAATTCTTTTCTTTAATCAGAATAGTCAATTTTGCCATCTCAACTAACTCCATCAACTTCACATCCATTCTTCAGTTGTGGGTCCTTCTATCTGTGTGCATATAAGAGTCTCGCTGCTGTTTATCATATAAAGGAATAAAGTCCCATGTTTCCTTTCAATCTGTTTATCCACCATACTTAAAAGAAAAATCTCTGGTTTCAATTGTACATCCATTTTTAAAATTCTCTGAATTAAAGTATGTATCAAGTCCCAGTATTCCTTAGTCTTTGTACAAGTCCACGAAGATGATGAAAAGTGCCTTCATATTGATTATATTTCCAAAATACACTTGACAGTCCCCTATACATCTTAGACACTTTATCTGGTGTTTAGTACCAAGGATACATCATCTTATAAAAATTCTCTTTCAGATTGTAATTAAGTGTAACCTTCAGTCCTTTGCTCCACATATTCTCCCATTGGTCAAGCATTATATTATATCCAAATTTTTTTGCCCAGTTAATCATACAATCTTTAACATAATCATCTACCATATTCATTTTCAACGAAAGTTTATACATCTTAGCAATAGCATGTTCATCATTAGTACACAAGGCCAACTCAAAATCAGTATTCTCATGTGTAAAGTTATAAATCTTCTTGTCCAGTTTAAATCTTTCTAGCAACTGGGAATAAGTAAACCATTGACAAGTATAACCTTCCATTTCCAACTCTTCCCTTGTTTTTAATTTAGGTTCCCCTTCAAGAAAAGTCAGTAAATCAGCATATGTCAACCATGTTTGTTTAACTATCATTTCTCCTCTATAAACAGCTTGAGGTACTGTAATACCCATAGAGGAATTTTAAGAGATAATCTTTGCTTTATATCTATTCCAAACTCTCAATATGGCACGCCAAATAAAATTATTTTTAAAATCAGTATTCACTCTATTATACCATAAATAGCCATGCCACCCAAATCTTAAGTCATGTCCTTCAACTCCAACAACCTTCTGTTTCTCAAACTCACCCAATCTTTCATCCATACCAAACAGCAAGCATCAAAATGCAGTTTTAAATTAGGAAGTCCTAGCCCACCTCTTTTTTTAGAGTCTTGTAGCACTTTATATTTTATTCTTGTTTTTTCCTTGCCATACAAACTTAGAAATGTCTTTTTGCCATTGTTTAAATGGTACATCAGTTGTCAATATCGGTATTGTCTGAAATGAAAATAACCTTTTAGGTAAAATATTCATCTTAATTAGTGACTCTCTTCTTTCTATAATCTGTCCTATCTAATCGTCAAAACCATAGTTCATACTTTTTTTCCCCGTTTTACGCAAAAAGTCCATAGGGGGTTTCCAGTCAGCAATAAATGTAGATATTGTCTTTTCTCTAATCAAACTGGTCAATTTGGCCATCTCAGTAAGTTCTGTTATCTTCACCAATCATTCCTCTGTTGTAGGTATTACCAGATCTTTCTATCTTTGTGTGTATAATAATTTCGCTGCAGTTATCATATATAAAAACAAAGTTTCATGACTGTTTTCCAACTGTTTATCCATGAGTCCCAAGAGAAAAAGTTCTGGTTTCAGTTGTATATTAATCTTTAAAATTCTCTGAATCAGTTTATGCATTTGAACCCAAAATCTTCTAGCTTTTTTGCATGTCCACCACGCATGATAAAATGACCCTTGTTGTTCACATTTCCAGCAAAGATTTGAAGTACCTTTATACATTTAAGACAATTTCTCTGGTGACAAATACCAACAATATATAATTTTATAAAAATTCTCTTTAAGGCTAAAACATAATGTAAATTTCAAGCCTTTCAACCACATATTTTCCCATTGGTCCCTTTGTATATTATAGCCAAAATTTTTAGCCCATTTTATCATATATTCTTTCACTTGTTCTTCTGTCTCATTTTTCAACAAAACTTTATACCTTTTAATAATAATATGTTAATCATTTGTACATAATTCTATTTCAAACTCAGCCTTGCATTGTTCAAAACCATAGAATCTTTTATCCATGTGGAGTCCTTGGGGTTCTCTGAGCTTGGTTCTTTTCTTGCAAACGTTTCATTACCCAGCTAGGTAACATCTTCTGTGCTAAAATG